TCCGAGAAAAATTTTAGCAAGTCCGTGCATTCGTTCAAACTTTGCAATTTTCAGTGTGGCAAATGCTCTCAGATTTAAGAGTTTACAGCAACAGGGGTGCATTAAATTTAAAATCGACTCACAATATCTTAAAGTAGAGATTTCAAGCTTTCATTTGAAAAAAAGTTCATCATTTTACGATGATTTTTCGCGGAGTTATCATTAACCAAATTTGACCAATTTTTGCTCAAAATTTTTTTATGGCATAATTTTTTTGAGCAGTGTATGTCCGAAACTGCGAAAATTGCCAACGTTATAAAGTAGCCCAGACAAAGCCGGCTGGAACAGCCCACGCCACAGCAGTAAACCGCCCGTGGCAACAGGTCACCATGGACTTGGTAGGATCGCTATCGCGCACTGAGAAAGGGCATACATGGCTACTTAACATCCAAGATCGATTCACGAAATGGATCGAGATGTGCCCCCTCCGCCGAGCAACCGCGCCCGCGATAACCGAATGCGTACTGAAAAATATTATATATAAGCACGGATGCCCGGAAACGATACACTCCGATAACAGAACACAATTCCGCTCAGCACAGCTATACGACCTCCTCATCGCGTTCCAGATCAGACATACATACATTCCTATGCACGCCCCCCATTGCAACCCAGTCGAACGAACGAATTGTACAATAAAATCGATGATCGCGCAATTCACGGGAAAGAATCATAAAAACTGGGACGAACGGCTGCCAGAATTACAATTTGCATATAACACCGCGTATCACGAAACCACGGGTTTCACACCGGCATATTTAAATGGGGTTCAACAGTATTTTTTTTATTTGTTTTAAATAATAATTTAGGTCATATGTATTCTTAAAAAAATATATAAAAAATTATATCTTGCATATTTATTATTTTAATAACAAAATAAAAATTGTCACATTTGAATCGAACTTTTTCGCGCAAAAATGTCGTATGACGTCATTATTAGCCACCGGTAGTTGACCAATCCCGTCGCCGCAACCGCTATATCATATTTGCTTATTTATGTCGTGTTTAACCTTAAAATTACTGTCACTGCTGTCAGCCGTATTGCTCCAATATACAAGATGTCAGATAAAAAAAGAGTACGGAAAGAAACGATATAAATCTTGTTTTTTCCGTGAGTGTGGAAGTACACCCACGGTCATCGATTCTGTCCCTCGGAAATTTTCACAAACTCTGAAGTGACCACTTTTCTACATTAATGCTTATAGTCCATGCACGATTTCGTTTC